ACCCAGAGGCTGATAGGGAATATTGCTGTAGAAGCCTCACCCCTAGGAAATTGAAAGTGGGTAACCAAGACCTGCCAGTCAGGAAGAGAATATTTGTTATAGAGAGCAGGCAAGGACCTAGGGAATTAGTTCAAAATTTGTTTCTAGGCCTGTGTGGACTTAATCCAAAAAGGTTAGAGACACAGGTGTTAGAACTTTGATTGTGAAACAGCTAACTTATGAGAATGCTGGTACTGCATGCCAGACCTCACTAAGGCCTCACAGGAAGAGGACTGACGTAGGCGAGTTCATTAAGAATTTTTCAGATATGGACCTAGCTTACACTCAGGGATTAGTGATGGTAGCTGCTTTACAGGAACTTCAGTTAATAATATGTTATTCCTACAGAAAAAGGAAGGCATAGGGAGGAAGAAATGCACAGAGCTTTCTAGAGGTTGCTTTGGACATGATCAGGAAGAACACCGGGTCAGACAGAGTCCCAACAAAAGTGCATGTGATTGGTGGAGGGAGGGGAAAATTTGAAGCCCCCATAGTAACACTTCCACCGATGTAATAAGTCAGATAATAAGAGAAAAGTTTTTTTTTTTTTCAAGAAAAAGTGTTTAAAAGTCTTCTCTTCAGGAGAACCCTATGAGGAAGGAAGTATATGGGTCCTGATCTGTGATGTTGGGGATAGCTATCTACTCCATGGTGTTGTCTGCTTCTGGGGCTTGGGAATTGGCACTGGTAGTCTATGATTACCTGTGGGGCTGGTGCTCCAATTAATTGTCCTGATCTCATTTTTTCTGGAAGAATAGTTTGGACAAAATCAACTCTAAGCATTTTTCAAGTGGACTTTGGAGTATCCAGAGGTATGTCATGTCCTAAGTTACAGCAGGTTTTTGCAGCCATTAATGTTTAGATTTAGAATACCCATGACTTCATTCAGTAAGAGCTTTCTGAAATATGAGAGCCTGATAGGATACCCTGTTTGTTTTGTTACATAATAAGGAATTATCAACATAATGTACATGATTGAAGCCTTGGATGAAGGCTATAGAATCTGAACCATAGTTAAGTATTGATTAAAATACTAAAGGAAATTCACAGTGTACTTGGGGTATTCAACTCCACATTAATTTTCTCCCTTTAAATACAAATCAAAGAGAAATGGCAAGTCGGAGAAAAAGGAATCTAAAAGAAAAATGAGTAGAGAAAGATGACTGTAAACCAGGACATGTCAATATAAGGGGATAAAAAGAATTCATGGCTCTGAAATCTTTTTCTAATTTATGTGTGGCGATATTTTGTTTATTATATAACAAATAAAGCTTTCCTGAAGATCAGAGTGCAATGCTAGCTACACTAGTTAGCCATAGAGGCCAGGCAGTGGTGGCACACTCCTTTAACACCAACACTCAGGAGACAAAGGTAGAGGGATCTGTATTAGTTCAAGGCCACCCTGAACTACATGAAATTGATCCAGTCTAAAAGAGAAACAGCGCTCACACAAAGGTGATCTCAGCACTTGGGACTGCACACTTTTAATCCCAGCACTAGAGAGGGATATAAGGCAGGAGGAGACTGGAGCTCAGTGCAGTCTGAGGTTCGGTTGATCACCTCTTCCGTCTGGGCATTGGTAGAGGTGAGAGCAGTGACTGGCAGCTTTGCTTCTCTGATTTTCAACTTTAACCCCAATATCTGTCTCTGGGTTTTTGTTATTAATACCAACTAGAATTTGTAGAATTTGCTACATTGGTAGATTTGATGTGTGAGTCCATTTAAAACATTGAGTTCAGAGGTGTAGAAGTAAATCAGAAATCCCGTTGAAAAGGGAAATTTCTTGTGTCTTGTGAGAGGCGTTGCTGGGCTTCTAAAGGGAAAGCTTTGTTCCTTTCCTAGGTTGCACCCACTGGTCCGTAATCAGTGACAGTCCTACCTGGTGTGTGTGATTCCACAGGGATTTTTTTTTTTTTCTTTTCAACCAGTAAGGTTTCTATAAAGAAAGGAATGTATGAGGCTTGAGGGTACGGAAGCAGAATTCTTTCTTTGAAACATCTGTGTTGTGAATTCAAGATGGACACTGAGATGGATTGCTGAAGGTAAGGAGCTTATTAATGTCACAGGCAGACAACAACATGGTAGAGCTCTGAGAGGAGATTAGGTCTCAGCACCAGAGACAGACAGCATGTCTGGGACCTCTGAAGAGAGGAATCAGAGTTGTGGCAGAAGCAGGGGGTCCCATTTTATAGCTCTCTGAGAACTGAGATGGTTGCAAGGCACAAGCCTGGTCAGGCTCCGAATTCCAGGTAAGAGGAAGGTAGGGGCACAGACAGCAGGATGTGTGGTCACTGATGCCCACTTAGATATAAACTCACTTCCCTAAGTGAGAAATCCTGACACCTGCAGGTCTATTAGCCAGAAATGTATAGACAATATCTCAATGGTATCTATGAGAGTGGGAGGGTGATGCAGATATCACAGCCTGAGCAACAGCTGAATTCTAACAATTTTTTTTGAGGCAGGGTTTCACTATGTAGTGATGGTTGACCCAGAGACCAGGTTGACCTTGAATTTGCAAAGATCCACTGGCCTCTGCTTCCAATATTACATTCTTAAAAAAATTATTTATTTCGTATACAGTGTTCTGCCTGCAGGCCAGAAAATCTCATTACAGATGGTTGTGAGCCACCATGTGCTGAGAATTGAACTCAGGACCTCTGGAAGAGCAGTCAGTGCTCTTAACCTCTGAGCCATCTTTCCAGCCCCCCAAACTACATTCTTACATCCTTATGATATTAAAACAATGGCACTAAACTTCCATAACAAAGTTTTTGAAATTTATCTGAGACTTGCTGGTGAGAATCCAGAGACTAAAAGAGCACAGTGAGGGCCTCTTGGGGTCTTACCATGGGTATCTCACTTTTATCTTTGCTAAGCCTTGTTGTACGTGTACTCTCTATCAAAAGAATTCAGATGAGGGGTCAGTAAGAGGTACAGGGGCTTTCTGCCAAGCCTGACAACCTGCATTTGATCCCGGAGACCTACATGACCTAAGGAGAGAACTGACTCCCAAAAGTTGTCTTCTGACCTCCATACTCAGGCCATGGCATGCATGCATACACACAAATACACATACACATAAAATATATCAAAATGTAAGTGTCCAGCATTTGGCATGCTGATCTCTGTGAGTTCCAGGCCATCTGGGATACACAGGTACCTATAAAGGGACCATTGTGAGACTTTATATTTTAGACAGACTATATGTTTCTATCATCTCTAGAGAAAGCAGCTTTTCTGGGAGGCTTATTTCTTGCCAAAGTGGTTGACAGTTTTGTAGTTCTACCCTTATGGAAGTGGCAAATTCCATGTTTTATTTCTTTAGCAGAAATTCTTCTTCAACACATATTTGTACAAGGTTGAAATGACTAAGTGTTAGAGTAGAAAAGACTCTTGGCAAGAGAATAGAGTCTCTGGGCTGGATGGAAGCCTAGGATTACAGTTGGGCAGCATCATTCCTTGGCCTAGGGACACTCATAAGAAGGTGTGCTCACCTTCATCCATGCTAAAGAGATAGGCAAAATAATTAGTCCTCTAATGAGATACCTTATTTTTTCTCCCCAGAATCCCAGCTCCTAATGCAGTAGCTGATGGGCCATAGCCATGTAGGTTTGTGAGTCTGCCCAATTTCTGAATTAGTCCTTTCCCTTCTTCCATCTCTTCTCTGAGAGTGCTTTCCTCAACACTTCCGGTCTTCTCTTCAGCATTTCTCTTCCTTGCCATGTGGCTGCTTATCTGCCGTGTGCCTGACCTCCATGCTGGTTTAAAATGGCCTTTATCCCTTCTATGCTCCATTCTCCTCCTCCAGGAAGCTGTTGAGACTTTGCTTGCCCTGAGATTTTCCTTTTTAACTCTGATAAAATTACCCTTGGTCTTATTTTTAGTCTATTCTTAAATTACTTTATTACAGCAACTTAAGGCAAGAAGGGTTTATTTTGTTGTTTTTATTTATTTATTTAAGCAAGTACAACCCATCCTGACAGGGAAGGCATGGTGGAATTCCTGGAATCAGGAGCACATGGCTGGCATGACTCATGTCTCCATGCATCAGCAAGCAGAGTGTGGGGATGCTGCCTCTTATCTGCCTTTCTCCTTTTCCCTGCCTTTCTTCAGTCTGGTCCCCCAAGCCATGGGCTGGTGTCACCCACATTCAGTGCAGCCCTCCCCTCCTCAGTTAATCTTCTCTGGAAACACCTTCACAGACATTTCCAGAACTGCAAGTCCTGGGAGATTCTAAATCCAGTCAAGCTGACAATGAAGATTAGCTGTCACTGCTACATAGTGAGTTCCAAGCCAGCCTGGGGTACGGTGTGAGACCCTGCCAAAAAGAAAAAGAAAAAAATAATATCTGGTCTCCCCACTTTACAGTCTAAGACAGTGGAGTCTGGGAAGAGGCCTGAGAATTCTAGAATGAGGTTTGAGGCCACGGATGTCAATCATCATTCAAAAAAGTCAGTCCCAAATGTCAGTGGCCCTGAGCTGTCATGCTGACAGGTACACATTGTTTTCTCTCCTATGGGGCTTAGTCTCAGGTATGAGAAATAGTAAGCAATTTACACAATGAAAGTCCCTGCCTGGTTGCTATCTGAAAACTCCCTAGACAGATTTCTGACTTACAGATACAAATAATGGAAATTCTTATCACTTAAACATAAAGAAATTTTATATGTGAAATTATAGCCTTACAGATTTTTTTTTTTACTTTAGAAAAATCAAAAACCCCAAACTTGAGTCTTTGTTTCTAGGAACAGAACACAAAAGCCCATCAACACCAGGTCTCATACAAGGTACAAGGTCCCATACAAGCCAAAGACTCAAGCTGTACCCAGCTGCAGGGATGTTTAGCAGAGTGATGCGGGGCGGGGGACTAGGTCTCTGCTTCCTTTTTAGACTTTCAGGGACAAGGGAGTTCTAATGCCAGGACACAAAACCAAGGGGTGGAAATAAAATGACAAACATTATCTAACTACATCCTTTTCCATCTCTGGGAGGATAAAGACAGAAAAGAATGCAAAATGAGTTGGTGCCAGAGGGAACTCTTGGTCCTAGCCAGGGTATGGTCACAAACAGACCTAGAACAGGGTCAGCAAACATGAGTAAAGGATCAAGTTTCCCCCCAGAGGCTTGTTTCCTGGAGACTCTGCCTCAGATTTGTGTCCACACCACCACAATCCTCAATGTGAAACCTTTGTCCTCTAGTTTCAGGTGTTCCTTACAGAGTTAGAAAAATAAAATAAAATAAAATGAAATAAGAAAGATTCCAAAGTGGCTAAGCACATGTGAATGGATACACTTCACAGTAACAAAACAGGAGATGGGCACATTTGCATCTAGGGCTTGAAATTTCTCAGCAAGGCCCAAATCTCAAAAATCTGTCTTTATCTTACCTGTGTTCTTCCTCATCACAATGGCAGCCACAGCTCCAGTGACCAAGACACCAAGGAGAACCAGACCAGCAACGATCCCCATGATAGGGGGGGTGGGAGAGGGGGGAGGCTCTGGGAGAGAGAGTAGGAGAGGAGAGAAGTGAGGGACCCTGACCCTGCTCAGGGTCTGTAGAAGGGCTTCTGCTTTCCCTAAGGACAGACTCTGTGCCCCCCACCCCTTTACCCCATCTCAGGATGAGGGGCTCAGGCAGCCCCTCATGATTCACATGACATGTGTATCTCTGCTCCTCTCCTGAAGGTACCACCACAGCTGCCCACTTCTGGAAGGTTCCATCCCCTGCAGGCCTGGTCTCTATAAGATCCATGTCCTGGGTCAGGTCCTCCTCCTCCTTCTGCCAGATCAGGGTGATGTCCGCAGGATAGAAGCCCAGGGCCCAGCACTTTAGGGTGGCCTCTCCTTCAGGTCTGGGGTGATGAGTCACATTTGTTTTTGGAGGCTCTGGGGAGAAGAGTCAGAGAAGAACAACCTTCTGTTCCTTCCTGTGGACCACTTGAGTACTGATCATGTGACCATCCCCAGAGTTGGGTTGGAGATTTGGAGACTGGAACTTACTGCATGGACTCAGGATGTAGAACTATCTATTCTTTGGGAAGTTCTATACACCTCTGAGTGGGTTAAAACCCGGTGATTCTGAGTAGCTAGAACTGATCTGTAAACGCTGGCAGAGACAGGTGCTGGCATCAAAAGCCACTGACTCTTTCAGAATTGGTACCCCTCCATCCCTGAATAGATTGAATCTCTATTATTGTTTGAATATAAAGTGCCCCCCCCATGGATCAGGTGTATGAAGCCTTGGTTTATATCCTGTAATGCTCATGATCACAGTGGAATATTTAGGATGTAGGGTCTAGCTGGAGGGAGTTGGTCACTGGGAGGTAGGCCTTGAGGGTTACAGTCTGTTTCTAGCTACTCTCTGCTTCCTGATCTGCCCAGATGTGAGCAAGGTTTCTAGGCTATGGCTCTGAGCTGCTCCCACCACTAAGTCCCCCTAATGAATTGCTAGCTGATGATTGGAGCTGAAGTTGATTCTTCTCAGGAATTTTGTCACAAGAATGAGAGAAGCAACTCATACAGTGCTTGAAAGAAGGGTGGATCCTGTGAGATCTGGAAACCAGGTAGGCACAAAAAGTAGCATTTGCATTGCTTTTGCTCATCGTAATTCTCCCTTAGGTGGGCAAGTTCTTTCTGGGAAGGTGACTCAGCCTCCTAGTCACATTGCCCACAGCACAGCTGTTGCCTCTATCTGCTGAGGATCCTGCCAGTGCCCCACAGGTGTTACTCCAGAAACTGCTGTTCTTGGTGCTCATGAGATGAATTTCATGCCAGGTAGAGGAAGACAACTACCCTGAGGTTCCCAGCACAGATATCCATCCACCATCAGATGGAATGGTCTCAGATGCCAGTCTTATCATCCATTCCAAGGGCAGCACAGCTGTCACTGCCATTCCACTCCACATGGAGAAAGCAGACCACAACGGTACCTTGCCCCATGGATGGTTTCACTTCCTTTGCATGTCTTTTATCCCAGAGCAGGAACCATGAAACTGATCCTCCCAAACCCATCTTTGGGCCTGCTGTGTTCCCACTCAGGTGTTGAGTGTTTTTATTACTTTTTCTGGAGAGATAGGAACATACATCTATTCACCCTAGCTAGAACTCCAGCAACAGACCAAAGGGAGGAGTCCATCCAAGTCCATCTTTACCATCCAACACTAATTTGGCAATCCCATAAATTTATTGGCACTTACTTACAGACACATGGGTGAGGAGTTACTTGATACTCAAAAAACCTGCCTCACTGGAGTCAGTCATGGGTGTATTCCATCAATTAACAACACCCCCTTCCCCACCCCAGCCATCCTGGCTGTCCTGGAGTTCACTATGTAGACAAGGCTGGCTGGCCTCAAACTCATTCATCCTCCTGCCTCTCAAATGTTGGGATTAAAGGCATCAGCCACTACCCCCAGCCCATCAGTTAACCTCCTAACTCCAATATACACTTACTAATTCTGTAGACCAGTTGCAGCTGTTGGGATTCCTTGTGTTTCAGGAGCATAGGAGGGTGTGAATGGCTAGAATCCCCAGTGAGGTGATCGCAGCTATTCTGATTTTGAAACATTAACAGTCTGTGTCACGCCCGGGGGACAGTGTTTTACAGTAAGTGGATACTTAAGAATTGGCCCTATTCTCTTTCCTTCCCATAAACTCTGCTCAAGGGCCTATAGAAGCTACCCTACCCCTCGTACCTGCACGCAGCAGCATCTCCTTCCCTTTATCCAGGTATCTCAGAAGCCACGCCACACAACTGCCCTCGAAGAAAGACCTAAATAACTTTGCAAAGCCAGATGCCTCCCACTTGCGCCGGGTGATCTGAGCCTCCTTGATATCCACAGCGGTCCAAGAGCGCATGTCCTCGGTCAGAGAGATGTAATCCTGGCCTTCATAAGCTATCTGCTTATACCCATGGAGGAGGCGGTGGTCCGGCCCTACGTCGCAGCCACACAGCTCCTGGATAGTCAAAGACCCTGTTGCAGCCAGGGAGGTCAGCAAGGTCTCCTAGGTTAGTCCCACTCATTACACATAGCCTGAACATGATTGGTCAAAGCCTCTTTCAAAGTGAAATGAAACCCCAATAAATTTCCTCCAGCTTCTCCAGGGTGGTTTAATTTGCGGATTTCACTAACCCAACGTATGTTTCCATGGCCCTAGGATTATGTGGAAACTGTAGACTAATCTAGGGTCACTCACCATTCTCTCTCTGGCTACGGTAGCTGAACAGGATCCTCAGTTCAATTCGGCCAACTATTAAGACGCGCCTGCCTAGGCGCGTCAGCTCCTCCAAGTGCTCTCGGTCCTGAGCCATAAACGGCACCCGCGGCTTCACCTGCTGACTCGCCTCGTCACTGTCGAAGCTCAAGATCTCCGTGTTGTCCACGTAGCCCACGACCATGACCCGAGGTTTGTTGTTGTCAGGATTGTGGAAGGCGGTGGAGAAATACCTCAGGGAGTGTGAGCCTAGGGGCGTTGCGCGGTGACCCTGCACCCGGCCAGACCGGGAAAGTGGGGTACCCGCAGGGAGGGGTGCAGGACGCGGGGCTCCCGGCAACGGCGAGGACAGGAAAAGAGAACCTGGCAGGGGCTGCCCTTCTTGGGGAGAGGGGTGGTCTAGTTGGGCGAGGGCGGAGTCATGGCTTTCCGGGTGCGGTCCCCGCCAGGTGCCCTCAGAGGCGATTTCTCTCTCCATCCCGCACTTACCCGCGCAGGCCTGAGTTGGGGGCAGGGCGGCCGCCAGCAACAGAAGGAGGGTGTGTGGCACCGCGGACCCCATCTTAGGTGTTTGGAGAACCTGAAGAGATTAGGTCTTTGTTCCTCTCTGTGGAGTTTTATAGCATTGTGGTTGTGTGGGGAAACGAATCACGATGACTCTGAGTGAGTTCTCTGAAATCCCCACATACAGCCAAAAGGAACGTGTGGGTGTTCAAACATTACTGGGGAATAACGGGTTCCCATTTGTGAATTCTTCTTGATTAAAGAAAGAAAAAAAATTAAGGCTAACAACAAAAACAGTAACAAAACCAGACTCTACTCAGAAGGGCGCTCTGGCACCATTTCCTTTGTTTTGGCTGGAGCTGGGGATGGGGGTAGGAGGACAACAGCACCAATAAGCCATAATCTTGGCAGCTGCTGTCTGGAGTAATATATGGAGGAGAGTAATGCCTTTGAGTTAGGGTCAGTAAGGAAGGACTGTAAACAGTTGTAGAAAATGTGCAGGAAAAAAGCCATGCAGTCAAAACACCAATGCACATAAAAGAAAAATAATAACAATTTTTTAAAAAGAACGTCTGTATTGTGGACTGATTAGATTGTCATGGTCCAGAGAGCCAAATTATCTTCGGCTATCCTAGTCCCATAAATATCCATTATTGCTCCCCTGTATGTGTGACCTGACATCTTTGCAACTATTAGGTAAATCCTTTTGGAATGTACAAGCAGACTCCTAGCTTCCACCAACCCATGTCATCAGATAGCATCTGAAATCTGTAACAGAGATTTTCCTGCATTGATGCAATCTGCCTGCCTGATGTTTCCATCAATGTATTTTTAAGATGTGCTGGTTTATACCTGTTGTTCTTGTTCTGTTACTATGAAAACTTCATAAAGCTGTTGCCATTTTAGGACATGGAATTTGGAGTAACTGAAATCTGTGTCCCGGGATATTGTTGCTTACAATTGGCTCCAGAATCAACCATGCTTGTATTTTTCCATGTAGTGGGAATCTAGTAGAGTCATTGTATCTAGGGTAAACATTAGAATGTAATAGTTGTTCCTCACTGTATCTAGGGTAACAACAATGTATTAGTGAGCCAGGTGGTGGTAGTGCACACTCCCAGTACTCAGGAGGCAGAGGCAGACAGAGCTCTGTGGGTTCGAGGACAGCCTGGTCTACAGAGCCAGTGCCAGGACAGGCTCCAAAGCTACACAGAGAAACCCTGTCTCAAAAAAAAATGCATTAGTGTTTGTTGAAGGTATCTAGACCTTGAAAAAATCATAGTAGAGAACAGTGATTGTTTTCTATAATTTGTAGAGTTTCTGAGGAAGTTTTCCATCCCTTGCATGGCTTTGGTCACAAGACCATCTGGTCACACTTGGAGGTCTTGAATTATTGGGTACTGCAAACAGTACACAATATGGATTAAAGTTTTGGGGGTGTCATGATTTCTTTCAGAGAACATAGAGACCAAAGAGGTTTTGGTATGAGGAACTTGTACCCCAAACACAGTCTTTGTGTACGATCAATAAATATGCTCCTGAACAGAGATTCAAGGTTGAGTTCATAGAAACTGTTCCTCCCTGCTTCCAGAGAACCTAAAATTACATTCTGGGGTGACTCTCCTTTTTTGAACACCCAACATTCTACAATGTCACAATTGAATAACAATAAATTTATTGAGTATGATGGTTTCCATTTCAGGAATTTGGCAGATAATCTTGCTTTCTTAGGTAATCTAATTGAAGCAAATTCATGCTCTTTTATTCCAATCTTAATTACGAATATTAACTGAAATATGACACATCACACAGTAAATATATGTATATGTTAGGGTTACAGAATAGATACAAAAGTTAAGGAGGCTGCAGTAGCATTTCGTGATGCTTCAGAATGGGCTTATAGAAATGTAAATATAGGGCTAGAATGATGTCTCAGGTTAAGAGCATTTATTGCTCTTGTAGAGGACCTGGGTTCAAATCTCAGCACTTACATGGTGGCTCACAAGCATCTGTAACTCCAGGGTATCTGATACCCTCTTCTGGTCTCTGCAGGCACCAGGGATATATCTGACACATAGACATACATGCAAGCAAAATCTTTACACAGAAAATAAAAGCAAACCTTAAAGAAATGTGAATAGAGTCTTACTGATATGGCAGGGGATTCAAACAGTGTGTGGAAGAAGCTGTTGCTATAGAGTCAGACACTGAGCAAGAGACTGAGAAATGAGTCCAGCTGCAGAGGCCAAAAGGTGGGGTCAGATCTAGGGAAAGGAATGGACAGATGTATGGACAAAGATCTAGACGGATGAAAGCAGGGTGAACAAATTATACTCAAATGGTCCACATCAGCTTAACTGAGCTGAAGCCCCAGGGACAGCCTGGATTTCTCTTGTCAGTCACTGATGCACATACCCAGTGTCAAATGACAGACTGGTGTGGGGCCAATGACATTATAGCGCTGGGTGTCCACATCTTTCTGGGATTCTGATGAAGGAGATGTACCCTTTCGTTGACTGGGTGTGCCCCATAAGTTCTTGGCCCTGGTTTCCCTGATATGATGCTAATACACCCACAAGTTCCCCCAGTCTCAATTCATCCCTATAATTTAGGGAAGATTGTATTCCCCACACTTCCAATACTAACACTCAAGTTAAGGCAGGCTAAAGATTTATAGGAGTAAAAGGTAGATCGAAACGGTCGTATCACTCATTTTTCTCATTAGTGAAAAAAAAAGACAAAAGAACCTGAAAGAAGCAACTTAAAACAAGAAGAGTTTATTTTGTTGTTTTTATTTATTTATTTAAACAGGTACAACCCATCCTGACAAGGAAGGCATGGTGGAGTTCCTGGCATCAGGAGCACATGGCTGGCATGACTCATGTCTCCATGCATCAGGAAGCAGAGTGTGGGGATGCTGCCTCTTATCTGCCTTTCTCCTTTTCCCTGCCTTTCTTCAGTCTGGTCCCCCAAGCCATGGGCTGGTGTCACCCACATTCAGTGCAGCCCTCCCCTCCTCAGTTAATCTTCTCTGGAAACACCTTCACAGACATTTCCAGAACTGCAAGTCCTGGGAGATTCTAAATCCAGTCAAGCTGACAATGAAGATTAGCTGTCACTGCTACATAGTGAGTTCCAAGCCAGCCTGGGGTACGGTGTGAGACCCTGCCAAAATAAAGGTAGGGGGGAGGACTAGAGGATGGCTCAGTAGTTAAGAACATTTGCTGATCTTGCAGAGGACCAAGGTCCAGTTCCCACCATCTACATAGTGACTCACAACTGCCACCTTGTTCCAGAGACTCCCTTTTCTGGCGATGATGCACATATAGTCACAAAAACACAAGCAGGCAAACTTACATACATGAAATAAAATAAATCAACAAATTTTCATTAACAATAACTGGCTGGCCAGGCGGTGATGATGCACGCCTTTAATCCCAGCACTGGGGAGGCAGAGGCAGGCGGATCTCAGTGAGTTTGAGGCCAGCCTGGTCTACAGAGTGAGTTTCAGGACAGTCAGAGATGTTACACAGAGAAACCTTGTCTCAAAAAACCATAAATAGATAAATAAACAAACAAATAACTGGAGAGATGGCTTCATGGTTGAGATCACAAGCTGCTATTGGAGAGGACCTGGGTTCAGTTCCTTGCACATATACCATGGCTCACAATCATCTCTAACTCCAGTTGGGGGAGGGATCCAACAAGTTTTCTGACTTCTGAAGGCTCCTTCATGCAGGTGGTATGCATACATACACCCCCATATACAGATAAACATAAATAATGAACATGTTTTTAAATCCTTTCTCAAGGCAAGGAGGGAGTACCACCTGGGCTCCATGCTCAACTATCTAAGACAGATCTGGGAAGAAGTCTGATTATTTTTAGAACAAGATTTGTGGTCACTGGTGTCCATCATCAGAGCATTGATGCAGGATGTCCTGCTATATTTATGTTTCTCTTACTGGTTGATGAGTAAAACACTGGTTGGCCAGTAGCCAGGCAGGAAGTATAGGCAGGGCTACCAGACGAGGAGAATGCTGGGGAGAGGCAGAGAGAAGTGGCCAGGAGGCACCATGTAGCAACTGAAGGAGTAACAGCCTCGTGGCAATACATAGTTTAATAGAAATGGGTTAATAATTAAGAGAGCCAGTAAGAAGCCTAAGCCATAAGCCAGTTTATACTTAATATAGTCTCTGTATGTTTATTTGGGGCTAAAGGGCAGCAGGACCAGGCAGAAAAGAAACTCCTACAACAGAGCATCATCCACAATGAAGAACAACCTCAATATAATATTTTTCCAGAGAAAGTAAGAAAGGATTCCTCATTGATGGGGAATGGTCTTCTGTGTAAATGTTTATCTTATTGGTTGATTAATTAAGTACTGTTGGCAAATAGGGAAGCAAGATAGGTGGGGCTAGGAGAGGTGGAGGATGCTGGGAAATGGAGGCACAGTCAGTCACCATGTAGGGCATGAGAGCAATAAGAGTAAGCAGTAGGACCCTTTCTCCGGTAAGAAAAAAACCACACAGAAACACTTACATTATTAGAAATGGGTTAATAATTTAGACAGAGCTAACCAATAAGAAGCCATAGACAGTGGCCAACAGCTTTATAATTAATACAAATCGTGTATGTTCATTTGGGGTTGATGCCGTTATGGGACCAGGCTGGCGGAAAGAGTTCCGGTAACTCTCCCATGGGTTTAGTTACAGGTAGAACACTTAAGAAACAATTTACATAATGGAAGCCTCTGGCTATTTGCTATATGAAAATCCCCTGGTTTATTTCTTACTTTTAGGTCAAGACATTAGAATTCATATTCTTGTCACTTATTAAACATAAAGGAATTGTATATGTGATATTGGAGGGTTGAAGGTTTTTAAAATTATTTTATTGTAGAGCCAAGTTTGAGTATTCACAGCTAGGAGAAGAACACACAGCCCATCAATACCAGGGGCCTCACAGGACACACTGTTCCTGCCACTGGACACAGGTGCTCAGGCCCCCCTGTCCCTGCCACTGGACACAGGTGCTGGTCACTGTGGCTGGGACAGTTTTCCTGCAGCTCCTGGAAAGATGTGGCAATGTTACTCTTGCCAAAGCATCCTCTGCAGTTTCAGTTTTTCCTTATCACCATGTGCTGAGCCAAAGTCTAGCATGTGGTCATTTGACTGGTGGAACCAAGGACTCATGGTATGCTCAGCTGTGGGAATACTTTGGGGAAGAAGATAGAGGGACTTGGTCTTTGCTTTCTTTCTAAACTCTTTGAGGGGGTATTCCCCTGAAGTATAACGAGAGTTCAAGAGCTGAGACAAGTGGCTAAGGGACAGAGATAAAATGGGAAAAGTCAACTCTTAGAATAGATTATGTAGCTACATCCTTTTCTATCTGTAGGAAGAAAAAATTGTGGAAAGATACAGGATTGGAAGGAAATCCTAGCAGAATTCCTGAGTTCAGAACCTAGGGAATGTTTTTTAGAATTATTATCAGTAGATCTAGAACCAAATCAGGAAATAGAAGGGAGATATGCAGAAAAGCCCAAGCCCCAACGGGGAGATCTGTCCCAACCAGCGTGGCATGTCCAATCACATCGGTGTAAGATATTTGTTGCTTGTTTTCAAATATGATTTAGAATGAGAAGAACACAAGGTCCTAGACTGGATAATCACACATGAATTTGTATGTCTTATAGTAACAGTAAGACAAAAGCCTCAGAAAGACCCATTCATTCCTTACCTCTCCTCTTCCTCATCACAATGGCAGCCACAGCTCCAGTGAACACAACTCCAAGGAAAATCAGAGCAGCAATAATTCCCATGATGGGTGTAGTGGGTTTAGGAGGGTCTGGGAAGGGAAGGAAAGAGGAAGTGTGGGCTCTGGTCCCCTGCTCTTAGCCATGAGCATCGCAGGGTCTGCAGAAAGGCTCCCACTTATCCTAATGACCACCTCTGTGTCCACACCACTCCTTACCCCATTTCAGAACAAGGGGCTGGGTTAGTGCTTCATGCTGTACATGGCATGTGTATCTCTGCTCCTCTCCTGAAGGCACCACCATAGCTGCCCACTTCTGGAAGGTTCCATCCCCTGCAGGCCTGGTCTCAATAAGGTCCATGTCCTGGGTCTGGTCCTCTTCATCCAGCTGCCAGATCAGGGTGATGTCTGAAGGGTAGAAGCCCAGGGCCCAGCACCTCAGGATGCTGTCTCCTTCAGGTCTAGGGTGATGGGTCACATATGCCTTTGGAGGATCTGAGGGGAAAGAGTTGGGCAATACAGGCATCTAAGATTCTTCCCTGAATTGCATAGTATTTATGTAACTATCCCAGGAATGAAGAAGAACTTGGTGGTGGAGGAATTTAAGCACAGTACAGTAGTCTAGACTCAGGCATCTGTGATAACCTACTCCTTGGAAAGCTCTAGAATCAGGATGATTCAGAGAAGATAGACTTAAGGTATCTCAAGGGAGAAAGGAAATTCTGGTCCTGATTGGGTGAGGGTTGAGAGACTTGGCATCGATGGAGCCAGATTCCGAAGACTTTGGGTATGGGCAGAGAGCAGCCTGAGAGAGGCCATGAATCCCAGCAGAGTGGGAGCTGCAGTTGTTTTTATTTCAGGGGTCTTCTCTCCTGCCTTCCTCAGACAGACTTTCAACCATCCTGAGAGAAGGTTGATCCCTCGGGAGAGTCTCTCTGTCTGGTGTTTGATCAGGAAACTCAGGATCACTCTTCCCTCTTCAGATGCAAAAAGAGAAGCAGTATTCCCGCCCAACCTATCTTCCTCCTTTCTGGGGAGACGTGAACCCCAGCCCCAGGATAGATGGAGGAGATTCCTTGTACCTGCTCCTAGAAGAGTCTCCTTCCCTATGTCTAGGTATGTGCGGAGCGACTCCACACACTCGCCCTTCAGATAGGATCGCCTCTGTTCGGTGACACCAGCCTCCTCCCACTTGCGCAGTGTGATCTGTGCCGCCGAGTCGCCTGCGGTCCAGGAGCGCAGGTCCTGGTTTAGGGCGAGGTAGTCGCGGCCGTCGTAGGCGTGCTGCTCATACCCGCGGAGGAAGACCCCCTTTGGCCCCACGTCGCAGCCAGACACACACTGAAAGACGTGAGAGCCTGGCCCCGCCCCCGGTCTTAAATGAAACTCTGTCCACGAAAACCCGAAAACCCGTCTCTAGTCCCTTGAGTTCCAGGGTCTCCGCGAATCCCCGCAGCCTCAGGTCAAACCTCACCCCAGGGGACATGAGAATTCTGTGAGACTATGAAGGGGTAGTGACCTCAGTCCCAACCCTGGGATCACTCACCATCCTCGCTGTGGTTGTAGACGCCCATAGCCTCCCGCAAGTTCACTAGCGAATTCTTTGCAATGTCCTTGACTATCTGGGTCTGCCTCTCCCAATATGAGGGCCCCATCTGCCTCACCCACATCGCGCGGGGCTCCATTCTCTGACTTTTCCCCTGGTTGTTGTAGCACAGGAACTGTGTGTCGTCCACGAAGCCGACGAAGATGAAGGAAGGCTCCCTCACACCAGGCTGGGACACGATGGTAGCAAAAAACTGCAAGGAATGGAAGCCTGGCGGCGGAGGGCAGTGAGATCCAGACCCTCCTCCCCGGACCTGCGGAGGTGTTCGGGTCGGGAGGGGCTCAGGACGCAGAAAGGAGAAAGGAGCGGGAGGGTCTGGCTGGGCGAATCGGTCCCTGCCTCCCCGCCCGACGCCCTTGCTCTTCTTTCTGACCAGCAGTCACCTGCGCGGACCTGGGTCAAGGCCAAAGCTCCAATGAGCAGCGGTAGGAAGGCAGACATCCTAGGTGTTTAGAAGGCCTAGAGCGATTGAAACTTTGTTCCTCTTTGTGGATGGTATAGGGTTGTGGGTTATCGGGAGAGACCATGGTGGCTGAATAGCTTTTTGCAGAATTCAGTTATACAGTGGGAGAGAACACGTGTTCAGGCAGAAGGACCAAGACCACCGACCGACAAAGGTTACTGGAGAAATGAACTCAAAGGTAAGGAGGATCCCTCTCCCTTGGCTTCTTGTTACCCCAGATACCTCTTTTGCAGACCAGACCCTAGAGAGTCACGCCTGAGACCAGGGAATTTAACACCCTCTTTCCCCTGCACCCAGTGCCAAGAGCTGTGCGTGAAAATCTCAACATTTTGTTTTCAGGATCTCTATATGCTTTTACAAATAAGTGAGGTCCTCAGAGAGATGTCACATGTTACATGCGCCCACGTTTATCACATTAAAAACCCAAAACAATAGGGGCTGGAGAAATGCACAAGACCTGGTTTTCATTTCCAACATCCATACTGAGCAATTTTGTTTTGTGGCAATGTAAATGAAGGTTCCTCAAAATTAGATAATCTGGAGATCAGAAATATGGACACAGCCACTTGTAACTCCAGTTTTTCTATTCTAACGCCCTCTTTTGGCCACCTCAGTCTCCTGCAAACAATCGGTATACATACAGACAAGCAGGCAGACACATACATACATGAAATAAAAATAAATAAGTCTTTAAAAAAAAAAAACAAATCTGATCTCAGAACTTGGAGAGCTGAGACAGGCTTGTTACAGTTTGAGGCTAATGTAAAAGATATGAGACCCTGTCTCCACACAAACAAACAAAACCCAGAAAACAAAACAGGACATTTAAAAAGTGAAATCGTTTTAATCCCAGCACTCAGAAGGCAGAGGCAGGTGGATCTCTGTGAGTTTGAGAGCAACCTGCTCTACAAGAGCTAGTTCCAGGACAGCCTGCAAAGCCACAGAGAAACCCTGTCTCGAAAACTAAAACAAACAAAACAAAACAAAACAAAAAGTGAAACCGCCCGTTTTATCCTGTAATTGGTATTGGATAATATAATTGTTAATAATTCCAATTGCAATTGGTTCCTTGGCCTGGAGTCATACTAATGTGCCCACAGATTAATTCACTGTCAGGAGTGGTACGGCAAGTGAATTATAAAAGCATGAAAATATTATGATGTCATGGACCCCAGGAAAGCATCTAAGTGACTTGTGGGTTCCACAGAACATGCTTTAAGAACTGCTGTTCTGAGCCAGGCAATGGTGGCACACACCTTTTGTCCCATCACTTGAGAGTCAGAAGCAGGTGAATCTCTGTGAGTTCATTTAAGGGCAGCCTGGTCTACAGAGTGAGTTCTAGAAGAGCCAAGGCTACTCAGAGAAACCCTGTTTTGAAAACCAAAAATAAAAAAAAAGAAGAACTGCTGTTCTGTGTCGGGCCTCAGTGTCAGTAGACCACAACTTATCTTGTTACTGTTATACTTCACATCCAGCTATATGTCCAACTGGAGATCCCTGTTCTGCCCACCTGACTGACTCAGATCTACAAGAGTGGTTTTGAAGCCACAAGAGACATTCAGACACCTCTTCAGATAACTCAGTTGTTGCTTGGTGGCAATGCCTCTTGGAAAGCAATTTTAGAGGGAAGAGAATAATTGGATATGTTTTAGCTTCTCAGAAAGTCCCTCTCCTGCTTTCAAAATTCTGTGCCAAAACTATCATGAAGAGCATCAGGGTACAGGAGAAACCTAGTATAAGAGACTGGCAGACTACAGTGGCAGACTGTCAGTACACACGGGCCTGGGTCATGCCTGTTGTCAGAGGGTCCAATCGGCATGAAGAAAGGATCATAGTGTGGATCTGTGAGGCAAAGGGTTGTCCCATAATGCCTTTAGCAACCCCATTTTGTGGCACTACAGTTTAAAGGTTTCTCAAAATCAGATAATCTGGAGATCAAAGGTAGACAATATTAGGAGTGGGGTTTCAGAGGAAGTTAAGGCCTTCTGAGGGAGAGACAATGGGCTTCAGAATGAGAGGAGGGCACATGGAAGAGAGGTAGCATTAGGAGTCCTGTGGTGGTGTCAGTCAGTTGCTCCCAAACTGTACGTAATTGATTCTTTGGGGGACTAGTTTGGACAAAATCAAAAGCATTTTGAGTTGAGCTTTGGAGTGCCCGGAAGTTGCTCATGTCCTAAGCTAAAGCAGGCTTTTGCAGACACTGACATTTAGATATGGAGGCATCACAGCCTCATTCAGCAGGAGCTTTCTGAATAATGTCTATAAGGACACCCTGTTTTATCTGATTATGAAATTATCAGCATATTGCATGAGGCTGGAGCCTTGGGTAAAGGCCACGGAATTGAAAACATCTTTAGATATTGAAGAAAATCCTGAGGGAGATTCACATGCCCAAGTACTGGACTGCAAACTAACTTTTCCCCTCTAAATGTAAGTGCAGAGAGAAATACAAAGAGAGGGAAACTAAAACTAAAGGAAAAATGAACAGAGGCTGATTGCTGTAAACCAGGGCACAGCATCATGAGGGAATACAAAGAATCACAGCACTTAGGTTTTTTGTTTGTTTGTTTTTTCTCGAATCAATGTATTTGATTTCTGAATCTCTGAACCCAATTTCCTTCTTCCTTTACTGACAAGATTGGCTTTATAGAGTGAAGAAGTGGAAACAGAAATCCAGTTGGAAGGGGGAATTTACTGCTGGTTCTTTCTTTCCTTTGAATCTTGAGAGAAGTGGTGTTGGGCTTCTAAAGGGAAAGGTTTGCCTCCTTCTCAGGAAGGGCTTTGGGTCTGTGGTCAGTGCCAATCCAGCCTCATTAGCGTGAGATGCCTAGAGCTAGATGAAACCTCCTGTCACATGTCCTTCTTCTTCTTCTTCTTCTTCTTCTTCTTCTTCTTCTTCTTCTTCTTCTTCTTCTTCTTCTTCTTCGTATTAAATCCAGATAGTTTCCATAAAGGCAAATAAAATAGGAAACCTGAGGTTTGTTCTGAGGACCGGAAATAAAAACACTGGGGACACATGAACTAAAAACATTTCCTTTAATGGTGATATTAAATTTACATAGCAAAACCCCCTCTAAATATTCACTGGCGAGAAGTCAGAGACCCAAAGGGCCTGGGACACTGAGGGTGCCTGACAATGTGGAGTGGACTGTGATAGTTGGACAATTTAATAGGTTGCTCAAAGACTCCAGCAGCTTGAAGGGAATCAGAAATGTCGGGTATTCACAATTTCTATGACCCAAGAGTAGAAAAAAGCACAGCTGTGTTCTTAAAACTCCAGTTCAGAACCTTCTGTTTTCAGTTCTAGGATGTAACTAAAGTTTATTGACCCATTGGTGTGTGTGTGTGTGTGTGTGTGTGTGTGTGTGTGCTCGTGTG